AGAGGGGGAAAACCAATAACAAAAAAAAAGCAAAGAGAAGAAAACAAAGGGTGGATACAGGGAAAAAAAAATCAATGAAACAAAAATCGCTATTATAAGAAGCAAGAAAACAAACCTCTAAGAAGACTGGCAGGTGTTTTTGTTTGTTTTTGACACAAATTATCAACATCAAGAAAGAAGCTATCTTAGTTACTATACTATTGCTGAGCTAAAACACCAAGGCCGAGCAAGGCTTTATAAAACAAAGCATAATTGGGTTTAAGGTTCCAGAGGGCCAAAGCTTTAGATGGCAGAGAGATGGGGAGGCAGCTGGAACTGCAGCGGAGGACTCCCATCTCTCTTCTCAAAGGGCACATTATCTCTGACTGCAGCCACTTGAAACCTCAAAGCCCACCCCCAGTGCCACACTTCCTCCAACAAGGCCACACCTCCTAATCCATCCCAAATAGTTCCACCAATGGGGGACCAAGTATTCAACCCCATCAGTGGTTGGGGGCTGCCAGAACAGAACCTGCATTCATCTAAAACAATAAGGATGCTACAAATGCTTTTTCCAACCATAAATTCAACAGATTAGAAAAATATTCCTCTTTCTCAAAACCCACAAACTACCAGAGTATAATCAAGAAGAAGCTGACAACCAGAATATCCCCCCCCAAAGCAAACAAACACACAGAATTAAGTCTAGAATCTAAAACATATACCCCCCGCCCCCAAACACCAGAAATCTAAAACCATGTTCTCACAAGAGAAGTCAATACTGGCTTTAACATAACAAAACAAAAAACCCAAAAGCATTAATACTGTTTTTTCATAGTTTCTTCTGGAAATACAAGAGGGGGACTATTTCTCAACTCATTAAGGCCTTAATGTCGAAAGCAGTCAGCCATAACAGACACATCTCAAGGTGTAAAAATCACTCAATAAAATACTCAATTCAATCCAGCAGTGTATACAAATAATATGTTCTGCCCAAGTAGGATTTATCCCAGGCATCCAGAGCATTAACAATGCAAATCCAACACTGAAATGCATCACACCAACAGGCTAACAGAATCAGTGTAAACATATCGTTAAAACCTAACTCTGAAAATTCTCAGGAACTTAGGAGTCTGGGTAAAACTTCCAAATTTTTAATACTTTTTTGATTGTTTTTTGAGACAGGGTTTCTTTGTAGCTTTGGAGCCTGTCTTAGAACTTGCTCTGTAGACGAGGTTGGCCTCGAACTCACAGAGATCTGCCTGCCTTTGTCTCTCAAATGCTGGGATTAGAGGAGTGTGCCACCACCGCCTGGCCTAATTTTTATTACTTTTATAAAAGTATCTTCAAAATACCTATAGCTAACATAGTTATATGGTTAATGGCTTTACTCTTTAGACAGAAAGCTGCCGTCCCTTGAGACTGCTTTTATGACTTCCACCCAACATAATTACGAAGTTCTGGTCAGTGCAATAGGACAGGGAAAGAAACGAAGCACTCCCTGTATGCATGTGACACGGGTGTCTACAGGGATCGCCCGGGAAACCACTCCGTTTATTTGTGTGTATACATACACACACATGTGTGTTGTGTCTGTGATAGAGGGCACAGACTCAGAGGTCAGAGGACACCTCCATCTCACCACGGATATGCTGGGATTAGATATTTGTTGTCAAATCCTGCTCTATGTGGGGTCTCAATTCCATTCCCAGCATGGGAAAAACAAAACACAACCTTATGGACAGGCTCCCAGACAGATCTCCACTGAGCCCAACATCTCCCGCTTGGCATAGGAAGGATGTCCTATTTCCCGAAGAGAGATCTCAATCTAAAGAAGGGACCACTTGCCATAGGATGCTGAGGGGTACAGGGAAGAATGGGAATTAACGCTCACCCGCAAATTCTGCTATGTCAGGAACAAGTCCAAAGTTTGAGGCGTTCACAAACACCTCACAGAGACAGTACTGTCGATCAACGTTCATCTACTTTGCATTTCCAGATTATACTGACCGTGGTTCAGATGGAGAACGTGTACAAAGATCAACTGAGGCGAAACCACATATGGCATTAAAGACACTAGAAAAGGCAGCCAGTGGGTGTGTGGAAGGTTTTTATTAAGACAACCAGGAGTTCACCAAGAAATGGCTTGTCAAGTCAATCCTCCCAAAGTGTATGGAGGCAAGAATCAAGAAAAAGGGTAGTTCTGTTACCCGGATCTCCACAGTGTAAACAAAATACCCTTCCCAGATGTGGAGGGAACTGAAGCCATGTCTAATACAGTACCTATCTGCTGTGTATCTCCAATGAGACTCTCCTTTTCCACTACGGTAAAGACACAAGGATGCGGGGTTCAGCTCAGTAGAGGAGAATTTACCTTAATGGGAAAAGCCCTAGGTTCTCTCTCAACACATTAGTGGGGGGAGGATACAAGGACATAGCTTTTTCCCCAGGAGGAAACACTGTATCTCTTCCTCGTGGCAGGACATAGCTTTTGAGACACACTCCATGTCTCCTATCACATGTTGCCAGGGGAGAAGAGGAGCCCCGAGCTAAGCAGGACCTCTGTGTAACCTCCCATTTGTGTTCCAGTGGGTCATACCAACCATAAAGGCTCCTTTGTGAAAAATGTATTTTGCAATAACTTATCAAAAGCACCATTGAAGATCTTAATGGCTGAGTAAAAAATACTAAAGAAATCCAAAAAGATAGAGACCACATCTCAGCTCAGCTCAGCTGTCTATGGGCAGAAGCAATACCAAGGAGAGCCAGAAATAAAGCATCAGTTGTGTGCCGTGATATTTCTTTCATATTTTAATAAATTAAGCTTGCCTGAAGTTCAGAGTGTAAAAAAGCCGCACCGATCAGCCTTACAGTGGTGACACACACCTTTAATCCCAGTAGCCACACTAGTTTGCCATAGAAACCTGGCAGTAATGGTGCACTCCTTTAATCCCAGCACTAGAGAGGAATATAAGACGGGAGGACACAGCTCTCACACACAGTCTCATTCTGAGGATTCCTGGAGGCAGGGGTGCCATTTTGGACTGAGGAAGAGATAAGAGCCAGTGGATGGCTGTTTAACTCTCTGAACTTCAGGCAAGCTTTATTCATTAAAATACAAATGAAATATCACTATATTTGTGGAAAAACAATCTAATTAACTTAATATCTGGCTAGGTCCTCTTACCCATCAGTAATTTCTGCCACACCCCATCCCAACATAACCTCTCCTCAATCAAATCTCTCAAGAACTTACTGTTAAAACCCTACCTTGGTGCATTAATTCCACACCAACCCCCGTAACTTACAGTTTAAACCCACAGCTTACCAGATGTTGAGCTATCCTCCCAATTACTACTGCACAGGTACAACAATCAACTCTGTATAAAAATGGAGATTGTGATCTTTAAAGCCCTGATCTGTCATCTCCAATCATGGTGAATGATCTGTAATTGGCTTCCCAAAGAGTACGGGACCCCAAACAAAACAACTGTGACCATCTTCCCATTAGAAAAGGCACGGACTCGTCCACTACTCCTAGTTAGCAGGGAAGGAGAAAATATTTCCCCAGATTATCCCACCACCTGCAGAGACCATTAGCCTGGCCAACAGTGAAAAACCCTAATAGCTTCCAGAGGGTCCTTAAAAGGCAGCTTTCACTGCACATATACCAGGGAGCCCTGTTAACTCAGCACATGCTGTAGATGTGTGCATACCCTAGGCTGCTTCAGGGTGGAACGGTGGCAAGTGCCTGCTCAGGAATACTACTGCTAGTAATAGCTAAAGTAACAACGGACACAGGACTTCCAGCTCCTTTCAGTTAAGAGGACTTAACAGTCCCCAGAACTCAGGCAAACGTGCAGTTAACATATGGCTCAGATACCAAATGTGCTAACGGACAGCATGGACACGTTCCTGATGTCGTCTTCTGCAGGACTGGCTAGTGGGACACACACCAAACATGGTTCTGGATGAGAAGGACCAAGGTACAGACTTTTGTTTTTGGTGGAGATGCAACGTGCAAAGCCATCCCTTTCCTGGGGTGAACCAGAAATATGCACAGCCCAAGTCATAAGCTTGGTCTAAGAGTCAAATCAAGTCTACAGATGTCTCAGTCTGGCTTTTAACACTCACTAAAGGAGCTAGTGTAGTTGTCAATGTTTAAACATTGGGACATTTGACTTCGGAACCCACAGGCCTGGTTACGATGTACTCTAAGAAATCATGTTCCCACAGCCACAGTCGGGGGAACCTCAGTGCTGATGGGGCAAACTCTCCAAAACGCCACTGACCCTACCTCAACAGCTTTACTGTGCATTGTCATTGATATTTTCTGCCACTCTTGGTTAAGATTCTCACATACACAGATCTGGGAGTTGTTAGGGGGGAGGGGATGAGTTTGATCAAATGAAACCGTAGGCATGAATGAAATCTCAAAAACAAGAATGTATTTTTTTAAAACACATTCTAACACTGACTTTAGCCCTTGAAATAAAAATCTACAATCTGATCCCATCCATACTAAATTCGATCCCTTAAAGCAAGAATGACCTTTAGGGAGAATTTAGCCATAAAACCATCTTCAGGGCTCTATGTTGGTTCTGTGACACACAATCTCTGCAGGCGCTGTCTTCAGAAATGACCAACATGTCCATCTCTTCCTTTACCTTCCCGGTGGTTATTATTTTATATATCTGACCAGGTCCCTTTCCAACCCAATGATATTAATATCTAAGCTTAGCATTTAAAAGCAATCATACCATGGTTATAAGCTTCAGCTTGAAGGCTGCAGAGATTCAAACTTTGCAACTCAATAGGTTGATGTTTGTACCTCCATAAATTCATGTCACAAAATTTGCAAATTAAAAAAAAATTTGTTGGGAATCTCCAAACATCTTCTGTTTCCATCAAAATATAAAATAAGTCACTCGACCGAAGCTTCAAATGCTACCCACATCCTTGAACCAATATTCAAACAAGCACACACCAACTGCCTCTTTTCTTACCCGGGTATGGCTTACCCATTGCACTGAGATAATGGTTGAAGGCCTGGCAAGGAGGACTTGGGGTTTGTGTTGACTTGTCACAACTCATGGGTGCTGGACTCCTGTCTGTGTCAAAAGAGAAATACCCACTGGAGGACCGGGACAGCAGAGAAGATCTTCTCACAAAGATGAAAAGTGGGGATCTGGTAGCAAAAGGGCTTGGGCTGGCCGTTGGAGCCAGCGGGCCCTGAGGGCTGCCGTGGGGGCAGCGGTCCCCTTCGCCGTCGGGATTACCTTGCGGTTCTGTCTGTAGGGAGGTAGGGGCCCCAGGCCTGAGCTGGGGAGGCCTCTCAGCAGGCTGCAATTGTCCACCTTCTCTGTCACACTCAGAACTTACATCAGAAGGTTGCTTGGCCATTTGGTCTTTTTTTCTGCAAGAAAACCGGGAGAAAAAAGATTATCTTCAGCAAACTAAGTTATAAAATCATTTCACCCACTCCTTACAAAGTCCAGAGTGAACCGCACATATATATGTTTACTTTTCTGACTATCTTCCGAGTAAGATTAAAAGTGCACTCAAAATAATGAAGGTGTTTATTTTGGTGTCGGGTGAAACTAAATTAGACCACCAAACAAAACAAAGTATCCACTCCATAGCTTGTGAGGTTGGCGCGCTCTCGCACATACACAAGCACAGAAGTTTCCTGAGGAGCAGCTCGTGGGAAGTCTACTATATTTCGTGCTTTTCGTTCAGGACAAACTTGTATCAAGTCTGAAAGTCCCAGCGGGCTCTCATTTCCCGGGCTCAGACGCTGCGCTGGAGCACAGGAGCGGGCGCAGATGCAGAGACTGCAGGCGGCTGGCCGCCTTCCCTGCTCCGGCCCCATTGTTTGCCGAAAATGCTGAGGGCAGCAAGTCTGGAGAAGGTTTGGCAGCGGCCGTCAGTCGTAGTAAGTGCGTCACAATAGAGTTTGTAACTCCGAGCGCAGCTCCGCCCGGGTCGAGCGCCCTCGGCCGCAAGGTCCCTCCTGCTGCCAACCCCCTGCGCGCCACCCCAAACACGAAACCATTTCTCTCGGGAGCAACCTTGCCGGAATGTGTCCACTTCCAAATGGGGGCCATCAGGGCCATCCCCTTGCAAGCTCCATACCTAGCTGCGCGCGCTCGGAAATAGCCGGCGCGCGGCTGCTTCCACCCCGTAGACTCCTTAACTCCCAGAGCCACCTCGCAAACTCACGTCCTCCCCTTCCCTTCCAAGCGCGGTGTCCAGCGCCGATCAGACGACCCGTGAGTGTCGCCACCGAGAAGGCAAGGAAAACAAAGCCGAGCCGTGGGCTCCAGAGTTCCGCGCCTGCCCGTCCGCCCGCCGCCACGCTCCGCTGGGGAGCCTAAGGTTTCGCGCGCCGCGCCTCTGGCCCGCGCTGCACCGGCCGCCGCCGGGATCATCCTCCGCCTCCTCCCGCTCCGCCCCTCGCGCGCAGCTCCCGCCGCCGCTCGGGCACCGCCAGCCCCGCGCCGCTGGCGCCGGTTGCCAGTGCTCCCCATTGGCCCGTGCTCGGTGGCTTCCCATCGTAGCCAATGGGCAGAGGCGACGGGGGCGGCGCCTACGGGTCAGGCAGCCGAAGGCGAGGCGATTGTTGACAAACTCGCCGCCCAGCGCCACTCAGGCTGTGCCGGCCGCCGCGGCTCTGGCTAGAACTTAGGGGGCCGGGCTGATTCGCTCCGCGCCCCGCCCCGCCCCTGGGCCCGGTCCGGACGCCGCGCGCCCTGCGGGAGTTCCCGCCGCCTGGGCAGCGGGACTCTAGAGACAAAGCGGGACCCGCGCCCTCCTGGGATCCGCAGGGCCAGGATCCCATTCCAGGCCACTCGGGGCAAAGACCGTAACGGCCTTCGCTGTCCCGAGCTGAACTTCTCTGCAACTTCACCTGTTGTGCCCCATGTGTCACCGACACGCACCATATATGAATGACCATCTAGGGTCTCTCGGGCATGTACCTCCAAACCCCCGGCCCCCAGCGTCCAGGTAGCCTTTCACAAGCAGTGCCTGCCTAGGGGCAATAGGCCCGGGAGATCACCGAGCCACCAGCCTATGCGACTGGGTCCCGCTGCGATCCCGTTTCATAGAACCGATCGGTCAGTCAGCTGCCCGTGGCTCGGAACTCGCGTGCCCTAAGTGGTCCTGGGACGCCTACGGGATCTCTCGGTTCCTGTAGATACTGTGGCCCTCGGCGTCCACAGGACGCTCGCAAACTGAACCGGGCCGACGGGGACATCTGTGCAACAAAATCGGGCACTGTGGCCAAACCGTGGCTTGAATGAATACAAGCAAAATCAGGCGCGTGTGATTTTAATAAACCTCCGCAATGAAGCAGCGCCAGCGAAGAGCCAAGTCTACCGGCCCGTGGCTAACGCGCGGCTACTTCTCCCGGGCTGCCTGGCTCGCGGCGACGCTTCCCGGCTGGACGTGCAGTCGGCGAATCCTCGCCTCCAAGTCGAGTCTACGCGCCCTCCCGGCCCGCGAAGGATGCCTCACCAACCCTTCGTGCGGCATCCCGACCCAAGCCAGACTTCGGCTAAATACCCGCAGCTTCTGTGCCTACGACCTTTTCCCAGAAATGCCCTGCTAGGCAGGAACCGAGGCTGGACTTTGCCGCATTCGCCTCCTGCAGCCGCGCGCCAAGCGGGACAAACCAGCGCCTCCGCCCGCACGTGCGACACCAGAGACAGATGAACTGGCTCCGCGGGTGAGGCGCCTCTCTTCCATCCGTCCCCGGCCTGCGCCCCGAAAATCGCGAATCGCGGAGAGTTTACCTTGCGTTTCTCAGTCCGAGAATCAGAGTCAGACATTGGGGGGATGAGGGCCAGGGGAAGGGCGCCGAGGCGGTGGCGGCGGGGGAGCAGCAGAGGTTGTGCAGATGCAAGTGGGGCACGGTTCAGAGAGCGGCTGCAGGAATCCGGTGACGGCGACGGCGGCAAGGACCGCAGAGCTCCAACCAGCTGGTGACCCAGTGCCTGCAGGGAGCGAAGTGAAACCAGCCTGGCCCAGTGACTCTGCTCCTACTGGGCCCCCGCTCCTGTGCCCAATCACCGCGGGCTCCGCCCCCGCTCGGTCCAGCCCTCACCGAGCCGGAAAGCAAGCCCCACCCCACCCCCGCGGCCCCCCTGGCCGCTGGCGCGTGCAGGCTGCGACAGGTACTGGCGAGGGTAGCCCCGCCGCGTGCGCGCGCTCCGCCCACCCCAGCCTGTTTACCCTAGTGACTTGGCCTGCGGGCAGCTGCGTGCAAGCCCTTCCTCCACCCCAAACGTACCCGCCCCTCTCTGCCCCTCCCTGTCCGCCGGGAGCGGCCACCACGCAGAGCGGAATTTAGGGGGCGCTCAGGGCACACCGCTGTGTCCAGCCTGCCTCGGGCACCAGTGGGAAGTCTAAGAACGAGTCCCTGCGCGCTTGCTTTGCGGAGCTTCTCAGCCCCAAACCATGGGGCCTGGGTTAGTGCAAGAATGGGCACTGGCCTTTGACTGTCCTCTCCAAAAATGTATGGCCTCCGGGGAACCCAAATTAGCAAAATGTTCACCCCTCCTCAGCTGTGCCTCAAGGCAGGACTCTTCAACTCCTCTGTCTGTGTCGCCATTTAGGTTCTCCCTGGTCGTGAGTGGTGTGTGTGTTGTTGCTGCTGCTGCTGTTGTTCTTTTCCCCAGTGCCCGGTTTCTTAAGAGGTAGGAAGGGCAGTTGAGAAAAGTCAGGGAGATCCTAGGTTTACAGCACAGCTTCGGGTCGCAATAGGCGCGCACGACAAGCATATAAAATAGGGCATGAGAAAGAAACTATAAAAGAATAACTATAAGGAAAAATGGGGATGGTCTACCGAGGAAAGACGGTTGTGCCGTGCGTTATGTCTTTAAATTTGGGGGGCTCACAGACTACCGCCAAGAATTGCTCATCAGCCGGCTGAAGCTGGCGACTGCGGACGGAGCAGCAGATTTCGGGTTGTGCTGGCAAAGCCATATGGGAGTCGAAAACTCCCCTGATCCTCCTGAGGCCTTCGTGTACCCAGTCGAAGTCTTGAAGTCAATGGTGCCACACACCCCACCCCCAACCCCTTTCACTCTCTCACCGCGGAGACCGGGAGAAGTTGTTCTGGAAATGGAACATCCGGCATCCTAAGTGTGAAGATTAAAGAAACTCGATTTAAGGACTACCCAGCCTGCATCCCGGCTGGCAGAGAGAAGGAAGTGACCTTTTCATGAACAAGTGACACGATCTATCGTCCCAACTTCGAACCATCTTGGTCATTTCGGTGTTTATAGGCGGTTCTAACGTCAGCGTGACACAGCACAGCCCTGGGTTAAAGTCTTGGTTCTCACGTGAATCCTGAGAGAGATCAAAGAAGCCACTGCTTCCCAGGGGAGCTGGGGGACTCACGGCAAAGCCATGTCCCTTCTGTGGGTGAGGGGTGTTCGCTACAAGAGCGCACAGGGCATTGGCGTGGATGCAGCCAAGCAGCGGCAGATCCAGGTCTATCCTGACCAAGGCTGCGAGTTAGCGCTGTGCGTTGTTCACTCCGCATCCCACCCATGCAACCCGGTCTGCTACTGCTCCTAGAGTCCTCAGCCAATAACAAGTCTGCCTGCCGCGCGCTTTTGGCCGGGAGCCGTGCAGCTCCAAATCGGGCTAGAAAAGAACCACATAAGAAAAAAGAAAGTCTTTATCGCCCCTTCTCTTTGTACGAGCAGGCTACCCAGGAGTCTTCCGATTTTGCAACTCTGGGCACGCTAAAAGAAACCATACAGGCACTGGGGAAAGCAACAGGCTGGGCTATGTGCTCTTATTTAGGACTTAACCAGGGAGACGGTCTGGAAGTGGCTCTTTGCATCACCGGAGAATATAGCAGTTTAGCGAGCTTCCACCAAATGCCTCACGACAGGTGGCTGCGAGCCCTTGGGCCCTTGTAGCCTTCCCCCCCCCCCCCGCAGTGTCAGGAGAACTCCTGGGATCAATTTGCTGGCAGAGAAGAGCAACGTGGGAAGGGCTAGTGGGTCACCCGTGCCTTCCCGAGGCTGGCAACGGGATGTGGAGAGAAGGAAGAGAGACTACAGCTAGAGTTAAGAGTGAAACTGGGCAACGCCAAAGTCAGGGCATAAATGAGAAATTCATTTCCGCCTGTGTAATCTCTCCAAATTCCAAAACCAGTTTATTGCAGCGATTCCCCAGGCCCGCGTCCCCTACCCCTCCAAGCTGCGGGAGCATTTTTCTGTCGCTTAATTTATTAAACCTTGCGTCTACGCTTTTCTAAAGGGCAGATTATAGTGTAGCGCTATGAAACGTTTGTCGCGAGTCGTCCTGCGGTCCGGAGATCGCCTACCTGGTGAGACCAGCTCGACTCCAGGATCACGCTCCCCTCTCTCGCGCCAGCCTGTTTTCTAGCAGAGCTTGAAGCAAGTCTGATTCACTAAGCACCCCTTGTTGAACTTTTGCCCGCACTTGGAGTGGGTGGAGCTTTCCTCCGCCCCTTTTGCCCGAGGGTGTTTGATTTTTATGTTTTGATTTTTTTTTTTAACCCAGCACCAGAGATTTTCGAAGTCACTTGGAATCTGAGTCACTGATGACAGCAAAGGTCTTTGGTGGCATCAGGCTCTGGGCAAGACCACCGGATCGTCTGAGGATCCAGCGCAGCGGCTGGGAGAGGTCAAGGCAAGGGCCAGGAGAGGTTAACAGACCAGGATAAATCACTGTACTCCCCGGGTTTCCATCTAGTCTCCATCTCCCCACCCCCCCACCCCCCACCCCCGTCCTCCTCCTCATAACCTGTCCTGAGCCTTGTCAACCTTAGCCAGATCTTCTCCTCCGCATGCCCCCAAACCCCCGAATATGGTGGTCGTGCACCTGTCACTTTGGCACCTGCTCCAACTCTGGGAGTATTTGAAGGGAACTCCATGGCAAGCTGCGGACAGGGGCACTACATTTCTTGCCCTGCTGGTTAATAGTTTGGCTCACAGCTTGGACAGCTGGGAGCGCGCTTCCCGCACCAGCCTTGGCGTAGGCGCGGGGTAGAAGGCCCAGGCAGCCCGGGGGTTGGGAATTCCTGCGATTGGTGCGTGGAGGTTGGTGTGTGGAATGTTAAAGGCAGAGATCACCTTCAGGGCGTCATCCTTCACGGACTCGCACAAATCCAGCAACTGCAAAACACAACACAAAGGGACAGGTCGGATGTGGGCGCGCTCACGGAGGACTTTCCATCCGCCCCCAATCACTCACAAGGGCTGAAATTCTCCACAACACAGGAAGTTACTGTTTCAAATAAACCCGTATCTTCTTTAAAATTTCTAAGTCTCTGACCCCCCAGGTCCTGCCGAAATCTAGGTTTTTCTGCCAAGGGTTTATGGGTTGGAGCTCTTTCCCAAGATTATCTTGGTAACTAAGAGACCAAGGTCTGAGAATTAACACTGCCTCCTCTTAGCTCCCTTTTCTTCTTCCCGCCCTTCTTCTCCACCTCTGGAGCGCCACCCTCTGGCGCGCAGAGGCAATTGACAAGAAGAGTCTCTGAAAAGATGAGCGACAGAAGGTGCCAACAGAGCCTGAAAGGCGGGGAGCGAGGGTCCCCAAGACTGGATGGACCACCGAGCAAGCCAAGGCTAAGCGCCGCCCATCACTTTCCGTGCTCTCCAGCAGTGGTAAACAGACTCGCGGTAGC